TCTGAACTACCATGCTATTCCAACGAGCAATGGAAAACTCTTAAAAGGACTCAGAAGTCCCACTTACCCTGAGTTCCATCCTATTCCACGGTTGCTTCTGCATGTTAACGCTGTAGATTTTCGCCTTCCTCACGGCACGCACGTAAGCTTCATGCCCTTGCCTGAAATATATTACCTAAAGGGAAAAAAAGGAAAGACAGATCGTCGTACTGTGCTATTCCAACGAGCAATGGAAAACTCTTAAAAGGACTCAGAAGTCCCACTTACCCTGAGTTCCATCCTATTCCACGGTTGCTTCTGCATGTTAACGCTGTAGATTTTCGCCTTCCTCACGGCACGCACGTAAGCTTCATGCCCTTGCCTGAAATATATTACCTAAAGGGAAAAAAAGGAAAGACAGATCGTCGTACTGTTCATACACCAAACTTGGCTTCAAGGAACAGCTGAAATGTTTGCAACGTCCCATTTTGAAAATTAAAAAGGCCATCAAGCTTTCAATTTTTTTCTTAGAACATCGCTTCTTTTACTCATTTTGGAAAGTACAAGCCAGGAATGTTTTGCTTCCTAGGTCGTTCAAATTGGAGGGGGGTTCTCTTCCAGATCCTAAATGTGCTGGGATTCTGTGCATGGAAACCTTACAAAGCAGACTATCTGTGGCTTGTTAACCTATGTGTCCTAGGCAGTAGGGACGAAGCTGGATGAAAGCGAGAGAGGCCTTTTAGCAAAGGAATTCCTAGCAAGAGGAACAAAGGAGCCCTTCAAGGTGAAATGAAAAACCCAGTACATTCTGACCCAAAGTGCTTGGCGATGCAAGACTTTTTCCTTAAAAGGAAGTGACTCAACTTCCTCCGATAAAGCCATGTTAAATAGCTACCTCATCTCCCATTTGTGGGACAAAAGGGGAGCGCCGGGGTATGGTATCCAGTATCCAGTGGGGTGCAAACCATTCCTCAGTGGGTTCACCATCCATTGAAAGCCGTCCATTAGGTTTCTTAAAACAGAAATGTTGCAGAAGGCCATGATTAGCAGAGAACCGTCCATGGCTGATTGACATCTGTCAAGAGAAACAAATGCTGCCGCGCTCTGACGCCAGCTTCCTTTAAAAGCCTCGTCACCTTTTTCCGGGTCTGTTTGGGCTTCTTGCGTTTCTCTTCCTGCCCTTTGGTCTCTTTTGCATTTTCGTCTTCGGAGCTGCTACAGATCTTGCGCGCCGCCTGCCTCGTCTGCCTTTTGGGGGGCTGAAGGTTAATTCCGGCATCCGCGGTCCAGTCGGAATATTCGCTGGACGATTCGCTGAAAACGTCACAGGACGAGAGGATCAGAAACCACACAAAAAGAGGCATGTTTGAAGAGAAAGAAATCTACAAGTTGCTGCAAACCACGACAGAAAACAAAGCAACCAGCTACCTGTTCTGAGCAAGTCATGTAAACAGAAATGTTTTCTGTAGCTCTTACTTTTACTTTTTAAGATAAGTCTCCTTAGGAGACTTTTCATCCTCAAAAGGGCAACAGCATTCAGTGAAGGGTAGCAGATATATAAAACCAAGGGCAACCCTTCACAAGTTTAATATAATAAATAATTTTGTGTCACCAAGTCAATTCTGACTTATGGCAACCCCTTTTCAGGGAGAGAACAGTCAGAAGTGGTTTCCCATTCCCTTCCTCTAAGGGGCGCCCTGGAACTATGCAGTTCCCCCAAGGCCACCCAGGCTGGCTTTACTTGCACAGTTCTGGCTTCATGTTTTTTTCCAGTTATAAAATCTCAGTTCTCCGAATACAAACCGTTCTGCACGCTCAGCATCCTCTTAACATTGGGCTGCCTTACGATTATGCGCAAGGCGGTTTCTCATAAGGAAAAGCTCCCCTTTGGAAAAAAAATGCGGAACAACTACCTGGAGCTGCTTTCGCTTTGCCATACAGCCACATTGTCGTCCACGGACGCATCGCTTGTCCCAACGGTGTCATCTTCCTGAGAGACGGGGAGGGAAAGAATAAGCATTGGTCTGGTTCCTCCATCACTTTACGCTAGTCATGCTTTAAACTCAGGACAGAACAAGGTTTTCCTTTGTTTCTTTCTGCCTATGTTGTCTGAAAGTTGTTCAACACTTCTGTGGAATGCAGGTCAAAAGGACCTCGTCAATAATGGGCTGACTCCAAAGAGCATGCATGTCTATCTCCCATCTCAAACTGTGAAGTCAGAAACTGACCTCAAGAAGCCTGGAAGATGCCACAGACAGTGGATATAGCAAGTGAACAGAACAGGCAGGTGGGAATGCCATAATCAAACATCTAGACCTAAATCAGACCTATATCTGCTGCTATGCCTCGTATTCCACTTTATCTGATAACTGATATTATAACTTTTGTATTAACGTTTTCTAGTCCCCTGGTTTTATTTATAACCCTATTGTTGCAGGCTTATGCTGTCCAAAATAGTATGCTGCACTAATGGGAAGGTGTATAAATGAATGAAATGAACAATAAAATAAATCCAATCAACAGTCCAGGCTGTCCATTGAATCAGTGGGAGCTGCACATTCAGAACCTCTATCTGAGACTAGTAACTTGGATTTAAGCTTCTTCCAGGGGATTACAGGAGTGTTCCTTATCTGTAACAGAGAACCTGTTGTGGGGAACATTCTCCCTAATCTTCCAGAGCACTGCCTGGTTGAGAGGGGTGGGGGGGTGGAGAGAGGATCTGCCCTGTGCACGTGGGGTTCCGGCTACAACCAGGAGCAAATGGGCAGAAATACTAGCTCGGCTGCGTGCACCTGATTCAGCGCTGCATGCCTGCGCACCTTGGAGAGAAACTTGGTCATGAGTAGACAACTTTCATTTGTCTTTAAGGAAATGATGTTTGGAAACATCTTAATCACTCCGCACTGAAAAAACCCAAGGTGAGACAGCCACGAACAACCATTTCCATCATCCTCACAGTATGGCCAAGTGCTCCACATACATTATCTGTTCACAATCTTTACAGTATAATGAAATTAATATTGTAAGGATTATGAGTAATCTGTTCATAGATTAAGGTGAAGGGTGTCTTTGCCTAAAACCAGCTTGTGAGCTCCTGGGAAACGCAAAAATCGGAAACAAGCTCAGTTTCTCTGCCCCTATAAGACACCAGCTGGCTCTGCCTAACTACTTCATTCATTTTGGGAGAAATCCACTGGTGCGTCTGGAATGGGTGACTCGGCCAACAGGGAATGGCCAAAGGTTTTCAAAGTCCTCATGTTAATCTGGGAGGCTCCTTTCAT